CATCTACTCATCTATCCATCCATTCACCCACCCATCCATCCACTCATTCATCCTCTCAGCTACCCACCCATCCACCAATCCATCCACTCATACATCTACTCACACTCGCATCCACCTATCTATCCATCCATTCACTCACACATCTATACCTGTGTTGTACTCACTGCTAGGGTGGTACCTGGAGTCTACACCATAGCTAGGATCTACAGTTCTCTGTGGTGTCCATAGTAACCACTCTGTGGAAATGTACTTGTGTTAGGCTTGAATGGGCAAATGAACAAACAGGTAGATGGATGGACGCATGCGTGGATGGATGCATGCACGCATGCATGCACGGGTGGATGGATGGATAAGTGGATAGATGCATGCATGGGTTGATGGCTGGGTGGCTAGATGGATAGATGGGTGGGTGGGTAGGTGGATGGATGGATAGATGGATGAATAGGTAGATGGATTGATAGATTTTGAATGAATGGATATTGTTGGCTGGGGAGATGGACAAGTAAGTGGTGCATGTATATATAGATGGATGGATAGATAGATAGATAGATAGATAGATAGATAGATAGATAGATCAGTGGATGGATCAGTGGTGGAGTAGCTGGGTCAGGTGGAAAGAAATGTGACCTAGTCACTCTAGTTTCATGAGGACAGTCCCTCCCTCACTAAGAGCGGTCAGCAATTGCCCCATTGTCTTCCCAGTAAACCTACAGTCAGACCCCTCTCATTCTGCAGGCTAGCCAGCAAGTCTCCAGCAACTACAGATACCAGTGGTCCCTGACTTTCTTCCTCTACAGGGCGTGATAAGGCAACTGGTTCTGCTGCCTGGCTCAGATGCCACCCCACAGCTGTGTCCCAGCAGGAACCCCAGGCTGGCTGAGCTGTCCATCCCACAGGTGCTGAAGAGGCTCACAGAGACTCCCGATGATAACGAAGTGCTGAAATATCCCTATGGTTAGTAGGCGGAGCTTGCTTTCCCTCCTCCCCCAACACCTGAGTGCACAGGCTCCTTTCTCAGCCTCTCCAGTGTGCACCTATCAGTGGCAGAAGGACAGTTGTCACAGTGGCCAGGAGGATACTCAGGGCCATCAGAAAAGCCAGAACCTCCAACCCGTCCCTTGAAGAACTCTTCTTGGACAGCCTACAGGCGGACCAAGCACCTTTCTTGGCCTCCTGGGCAGCTGGAAGACATGCTTCACATCAAGAAGGCTCCCTCCTCTGGACCCCTGTCCAGATATTGCTCATAACTCCCAGCTACTTCCTCCAGGTCATTCTAACCTCAGCCCAGCCCATGCCAAGACCTATCTGTTTCCTGCTAGCCTCTGCAGCCCACGGCACCTCCTGGATGTGCTTTCTCTGCTCCAGGTCTTCTCTGTCCTAGTGTTAAGTTGCAATGTTGAGCCATTTATAAAAATCACAGCCCCTGCCTCACAGACACTGAGAAGCCCACCACAACTACACATATACCCCTGCTCTGGGCAAAGAGGATGAGATTAGGGACAGCCAGGACCCCAAACCTTGTGATTCTCACATCATAAATAAAGGAAGTCCCCATCTGGTTGTGTTGGGCATTTAGGATTTTACTGTGTTCCATGGCTGTCTGATGCTGGTGGAGCTGTCCCTGTGAAGCCGGGACATGAGCCCAATGTACTAGAAGTGGTGAGATCAAAACATACCCAAGAACACTGTCCATGGCTTAGCACTTACTGCTGAGAAGAGAAATAACCCTAGGGTGGTCCGGGGCAGTTGAGGGTCCGTGGAGTGACAACAAAAGAACAGAGAGATGTGTCCTCCAGGCTAAAGTTTGGTGGACAGACAGCCACACAAGAAACATCATAGTTGGGGACACCTACCCTATCTCCAGTGACCTGTGCTCTCAGGGGCTCCCTTCAGCCATGTACAAAGGTGGAGGACCACTGGACTTAGAGACCTTGCATAGAATCCTTGTCTAAGGAGTCCTGATATGCCAGACACTTTCATCTTCCCCACAGAAGCTGACATGAAAGTAACCCTGGGATCCCGGCCACCGTGCACCAAGGCAGAGGGTGCCCAGTTCTGGTTCGATGCTGCCCGGAAGGGACTGTACCTGTGTGCTGGCAGCGAATGGGTCTCTGTGTTGGCAGGTGAGGCTGGACCCAGAATTCGGGAGCCCATGGCATCCTAAGCACATAGAGCAGCTGGCTGCATGTCCCCTGGGAAAAGGATACCCTGATGGGCTGAAGTCCCATTCATCCATCAGAGCCAATGAATGGAAAGTCACCTCAGTAGCAGGTGCCCACCAGAACAACCCAGGCAAGCCAGGATGTTTTCCTCCCTAGAATAGGCATGTCCAGCCCCAGAGATGTCCTCAGAATTCCAGGAGTGGCAAACCTGTGTGTCCAATCTAGAAATAGGCACATCTAGGCTGTGACATGAGAGACACATGGCTGGCTTCTCTCAGCAACTCTTCCCTGATAGCTAGCTAATGTCTGTAAGAGGGTACAGCACAGACACTCAGACCTCTCCTTTATCCTCTTTGAATCTAGGGCTACACAGACCCCAAAGCACCCTAGTGGACAGGGGCAGCCTCCCTTTAATAAGCCTTTCCCTCAAGGATAAAATGGGGCTCCAAAGAAAATCTTTATAAATCCCAGGGCCCTGGGCCTAGGAGCCAAGTCACACAGAGCTCCTGAAATCACTCCTAAAAGAACCCCCAGCTCCGTTCCTATGCACACTGACTAGGTCCCCATCCTCCCATTCCAAGCCAAGACCAAGCTGGACTACGTTGAAGAACACCAGAGTCTGCACACCAACTCAGAGACACTGGGCATCGAGGTGTTCAGTATCCCTGGCGTGGGACTCTTCGCAGCCGCAGCCAATCGGAAGGCTAGATCAGCCATCTATAAGTGGGCAGATGGGAAATTTGTCTCCTATCAGAACATCGCCACACACCAGGCGCAGTCATGGCGACATTTCACCATTGGGAAAAAGGCAAGTCTGTACAGGTGACTTCCCCTTCCCTGTTGATGGGAGCCTCCGTGGGGTCCGCAGGTGGGAATGCCTGTGCACTCTGCAGGCCAAAGCATCTCTTGGGCTTCCAAGCCCTCACTAGGAGGGATGACCGGGCTCAAAATCACAGGCTGTAGGCTATAGGGGTGTGCCTGTAAGGAGTCTGTTCAACTCCACACAGGGCAGACGTGGCGCCAGCTTAAAAGTCTGTCTAGTCCTGTGTAACTCACTACAAATCAAAACTGTACAGACTGGAGGTGGGAAAGTGGCTTGGTTGGTAGAGTGTTTGCCCAGCATGCAGAGATCCCTGAGTTCGGTCCCCAGCACTGCATAAAGTGGTAATGGTGACTTATAATCATCTTATAATCCTAGAACGCAGGGAGTGCAGGCAGGAGGATCAGACATTCAAAATCATGCCCCTAGCTACATAGAGAGTTTGAGGCCAGCCTGGACTATGTTAGACCATTTAAAAAAAAAAAATCACTAACTGTTGGAGTAACCTCACTAGGTCAATCGCAATGCAGGGAGCATGTCATCTACCACAGTGGCTACTCAGGATGTGAAAATGGATGTTAGTACCAGCTCTCTGGAGATCAAGGCCTGAGAGTTGGCCTTGGGTAGTAGTTCCTTCCCACCTGGGCTGGACTGAGCAGAGGACTTGGACAGAGAAAGGGCATTCACACCAGGAGGGGGCATTCACACTAGGAGAGGGCATTCACACCTGGAGAAGGCTTTCACACAGGAGGAAGCATTCACAACAGGAGAAGGCATTCATACCAGGAGGGGGCATTCACACCAGGAGAGAGCATTCACACCAGGAGAGGGCATTCATACCAGGAGAAGGCATTCACACCAGGAGAGAGCATTCACACCAGGAGAGGGCATTCACACCAGGAGAGGGCATTCACACCACAGCAGGAGAAGGGAATGTTTTCTTCCCAACTCCCGAAGCCTGCCTGGCAGGATGCTGTCCTGAAGACAGCATTGTGTGGCTGTCTCCAAGGGCTCTAGCTCAGCAGAGGGCTCACCCCAGACCCTAGGGATGAACGAGGTAAAACCTGATACTACCCAGTAGGGCTACAATGTGTCCAGTGATAGTGTTACCAGTAGGTTTTTTTCCTAATAACATCTGAAATTTTTTCATTTTCTTTGTGATTTAAAAAAATAATTATTTTGCATTCAAGAAATACCTGGAAACAGAAAAATAAGGGAAGGAGGTATTTTTGCCCCTGAATGAATGCGCACTGTCTTTCATTTGCATGCGGGCGGTGCACACAATAGCACATGGGAAATGAAAACCATGCTTTCTGTCCCCGGGAGAGCCACACAACGATGCCACATTGAGCCCTGAGCATGTTCTAGCACCAGGACTCTGGTATTCACTCAGTCTGTCCTGTATCCTTCCCTGTAGATGTGGGAAAGATGCTGAAGTTCAGACTCCTGCAGATCCGGCTCCAGGTCTGGTACCAACGTAAGATAGTGCTTCTCTTTCAGATCTTCCTGGCTGTGGCTAACTTTGGGCCAAATGAAAGGGGTCAAGAGTTCTCAGTCATCTACAAATGGAGCCCCAGGAAGCTGAAGTTCACCCTTTACCAGAGGATCGCCACCCACAGCGCCCGTGACTGGGAGGCCTTTGAGGTGGGCGGAGAGCACTTCCTCGTGGTAGCCAACCACCGAGAAGGTAAGACAAGTGTGGCCTTTGACCTGGAAGGAAACCATTGCATACTTTGTTAGCAAGGGTGAATTTTTCATCTTCTTTAAAATATATATATATATTATATATAAAGTTGGGACTGGGAAACGGCTCTGTCAGTAAAGTGCTTGTCTTGTAAACATAAGAGCCTGCGATTGACGACTACCACCTACAAAAAATAGCTAAGCATGGTGTCATGCCTTTGTAATCTCAGCACTAGGGTAGAGGATCCCAGGGAGTCACCGCCGCCAGAGTAACCTGATTGGTGACCCCCAGGCCATTGAAAGACCTTACCTCAAAAAGACAAGGTGGGGAATAACACTGGAGATTGGCCTGTAGCCCCCACATGGACATGCCATAAGTACATACGCACCCCTCAACACATGCACACATGTGCATGCACACACAAACACTAAGTCATGCTTGACCTGTTTCCTGCAGCTTACCCCTGAAATACGTGGTCACAGATAGGCCACATAAACTCCATCACAGCTTCAGGTCGACTAGGTTAGGAAGACAGGGAAGCCTCGTGGTTCTGGCCCACCAGAGATGCCACCGAGCCCCGGCGTGGACTGTCACCTGCCATTTACCTCCTCACTGTGAGGAGGAGCCACAGGTCAACACAACTAGCTGGCGTCATACTGACCATAAACAGGGGAAGTCGAAACAGCATTAACGCTGATGGGTGTGTGGCCTTAGAGGGAGCCAGTTAGGAGGCCGCCGTTGCTGCTCCCCTGAGAGCAGGCAGCCTGGGTGGTGAAGCCTCAGCCATTGCACTCAGGGGAGGCCAAGACTCCAACAACAGGGTACCCCAAAGGGTGAGTGCTCCTGCAGAGCAGGCACTGGGGAGGAAGACCATAAGGGAAGACCTTCCAGGAAGGGCCATGGAAGAGCAGCACCAGGGGTCTCCTCTCAGAAACCCCATGAAGGGAGGATCACAGGGGAGGACCTCCAGGGAGCACCACAAGAGAGGGTGTCCAGGGAACACCATAGAAGATGCATCACCAAGAAATATCACGAGGGAGGACCTCCCCAAAGGGCATCATGGGGGGAGGACTTCCATAGAGCATTATGAGAGAGAAATACCTGGGGAGCACCACTATTCATGGAAGACTTCCAGGGAGCATCATGGGGGAGATGTTCCAAACAGAGAGAGTAGCATGAGCAAGTCTAACCTATTAGGGCAAGAGAGGACTAAGGCAGGAGGTGGTGAGGCTGGAGATGTATAGGACTCAGATTAGGGAAGGTTCTGATACCTGTAGGCTTTTTTTTTTTCTTCTGCACGTACAGGCTCAGAGGCTGGAGGCAGAGGCTATCTGAGGGGTGCTGTAAGGGAGGAACTTGGGTATACAGGGAACATGCACAGTAGCTGTCTATGCCCTGGCCAAGCTGTATCCTGCAAGCAGCTGTGGGCCCCAGGGGACAGCGCCCTTCCCCAGCACTGACCTTGGTTCCAGGGGACAATCACAACATCGACAGCGTGGTCTACAGGTGGAACCCCAGCAGCCAGCTCTTCGAGGCTAATCAGTCCATTGCCACGTCCGGTGCCTACGACTGGGAGTTCTTCACCGTGGGGCCATACTCCTTCCTGGTGGTGGCCAACACCTTCAATGGCACCTCCACCCAGGTGCATTCCCACGTGTACATCTGGCTTGTCGGCGCCTTCCAACTCTTCCAGTCATTCCTGGTAAGGAGCCTGGGTCCTCAAGTGCACGGGGCCATGGACCCCATGTGCAGTGTGTGCCTGCTTCATGGAATGACCAAGGGGCAGGGCTCTGTGATAGTGTGGCTCTGACCCAGTACCCAAGTGCCTCTCCCTTCTGAATGCTACAAGATCTGGTGTCTTCCCAGGTGGTCTTAGCCTTCACCTCTTCTATGGCTACGTGTGCTTTTGAGGAAAGCTTGGGTGTGTCGAGTCTGGGTTACTAAGAAGGGCACCCTGGGTGCTCACAGCTGGCCTCCCCATGGGCCACAACGCCCCTGTTCTGATTGGTCAGTGTCTGCGGCTCTCTGGGTCTATAGGGTGTAACAAGGCATCTTGCACTAACCGGGGTCAGAGAGGATTGGGTGGAGGCTTGAAACCCTGGAGGGTGTGGCTAAGGAAGGCATTTTAAAGGGTCTCTTTCTGCACCACTCCACTGTCCTGCTCCCACCCTTGGGAGCCAGTCTCTGCTCACCTGGCCCGAGGCTGTAAGATTCCCAATGCCTGGAGTCTCCCTTTGAACCACTGTGCACTTACCCATGGTGCCCTGGGAGTGCCTTCCCTATGGATGGGAGCTTGCAGCACAGACCCTTCCAGAAAGGCAATTGTCTGCAGAGGTAGGTGTGTATCCCCACAGCTTGCAGGTATGTTCAGGGTAGCCAGTTTTAGTTTGCTTCAAAAGCTCGTGTTCTGTGACATTGCAAAAGGCAAACGGGGAACGGATTAATGCCTCTCCAGGACGGAAAGGATTTAAGCTAAGGAAGGGAAACTTTGGCAAAGCATGAGAGTGGACGTGTGTGGGATCTGAGGAGGTAGAGGGACGGGGCAGGGGGAGCTGCTTGCTCCTAAGGGCAGCCTGCAGTTCTAGTGGGGCTGAGCCAGTCCCTCCTCTCTGTGTCTTCCCTGGTGATTGCAGGTGGCTAGTGGCTTCCAGCTGCATCTGCCTCTGCACCCTGCCTTCTGCTGCTCTGTTCTAGCTGTGCCCCTCCCCGCTCCTTCAGCAGAGTCACTCTTGGGCCCGTCCTCCTCTGGAGCGTGGAACCCCACCTCCTAAGGGTTCTGCTTTGACTCTTCACTAAATGCTAGGGGCTGCTGCCCTTTGGCTGTACCTGTGGCCTCCACTAAGGTCACTGCTGGGAGCTTCGTTGGTCTCAGCAAAGCTACTTCGATTCGGTGTAGCCCGCACAGACAGGCTGCAAATCATAAGACTGTGTTGTGTCACAACACTAAATAGTCAGAGGACTTGCCAGTAACTAGTCAGCTGTGAGCCAGCCACCTGGCCAGCCAAGGGTTCAGAGATTGAGTCAGCTGGGTCCCTGTGGGTCTCCACCAGTCCCTGTCAGACACTACCAAGGAACCATGGACAAACTGAATCTTACATAAAAAATTAATAATAATAATAATAATAATAATAAATGTTTTTATAGGATTGTATCCCAACTGTTGTGTGGGATACAGGGAGAATAGAATATTACTTCTCAAATAGTTGATATTTAGGTGGAGTAGGGGGTGGGGTACTCACATTTTCTAAGTCAGCACCCTGGCCCTGGCCCACTGGGCTCAAAAAGAGGACAGGAACTTGAGCTGCCTCTGAGCCCCGCATGCCTGGGCACACAGCAGGCTTTGTAACTCTCCTAGAACACAGCAGGCTCTCCAAGAGGTGACTGAAACCTCTGTCCCAGCTCCTGCCCAGTGGGGTGAGCCTCACATACGCCATGAAGACTCCTGACATACATTAATTAGCTCCGTGCCCCAAAGGTGTCTCTGTTTCCCCAGGCCCCTCCCGAATGGCTTCCTCCTGCCCTGCTCCCCATGTACCCTCAGGTGCCCTGCTAGTTTTGCCTCCTGGAGACCCTTTCTTGTCTTCTCCCCTTCCCCTACACATCAGTCGCTCTTCTGTACTCCCAAAGTCCCGGGCAGCCCCTAGGTGAGGCTCCACCCCCATCTCTGGGCTTCTGAGTGGCAGGAAAGACACTTAGCTGCTCACTGAGGCTGGCCTGGCCCCAGGCAGGAAGTTGACACCTCTTACACAGATCCAGGAGAGTGTGCTCTTAGGCCTCCAGCTACCCCGGAGTGTCACAGAGCAGCCTGGTATGGACCAGGGCTTCCTGTGCAAATCCCTTCAGGCTCCAATAGCACAGGTGAGCAAATGGCAAGCAACTCCAAGGGAGACGCATACTGTGAGGGCGTGTATGTGCATTCCTGCAGGCACCTGCCTGTACACACGTGTGCACATGTTCAGACACAGGCTTGCAGGTGAGTGTGCATCCAACAAGTGATGTGTATACGGGTATGCACACGTGTTTATACGCGCATGTGCATACATTCGTGTGTGTGCATAGACACTGTACGTATGTGTCATACACGCATGTGGACATGTTCCAGTGTACATACACACACAGATTCATGTGCATATGCATGTACACATGTACTGTGGGCGCGAGAGTGCACCGGTGTGTTTGCCTGCAGGTATGGAACAGACAGGGATTGTTTTCTCAGCACTCATTTGGCAAGAAGCAATAACATGTCAGGGCACTGCCTGTGCCATACCCTGCTTAGGTGGGGGTCTGGCAGTCTGAAGGTTCTGCAGGTTAACTGGGGTGGCCCTGAACTGGTCCCAACAGCCCTGTGAGGAGAGGGTAGGCTAATTCAGACAGTCTCCTCCCTGCCCCCAGACTTTGTGGCCCAGGACCCCTGGAGCTCTTGTCTTCCAGAGTTTCACTCCTCAGATGAATCTCATCTCAACCTGTCAGGCTTTCTCAAGCTCGTCCTGGATCAGTCTTCCACCAGCCTCCTCTTTGGATTCCCAGCTGGTTCCTACCCCACTCCCTGGGTGGCTGAGCTCAGCGGGTATTAGCGCCCTCTGTTGTTCACAGAGAGAATACTGTTACATTCTGCTGGCCAGCCAGCGCCAGACCATGGCCGGCGAGGGAACAGGGGCTCTTGGGTAATGTGCAGACAAGGAGTTAACTGACCTATACTGAGGGCAGGTTACAAAACCTCCAGAGGAGGGCTGTGAAGATGATTCAGTGGGTAAAGTGCTAACCTACCATTTAGTCCCTTAGAACTCTCGTAAAAAAGTTAGGGTGAGCTGGGCAGTGGTGGCGCATGCCTTTAATCCTAGCACTGGGAGGCAGACGCAGGTGGATCTCTGAGTTCGAGGCCAGCCTGGTCTGCAAAGTAAGTTCTAGGACAGCCCGGGCTACACAGAAAAATCCTGTCTTGAACAAAAAAAACTAACAAAAGTTAGGTGTGTCATAAGTAAACACGTGCTTGTAATCTTAAATTCTAGAGAGACAGAGATAAGTGATCCCTGGGGCTCACTGATAACTTAATCGATGAACCCCAGGTCCTACAGAGAGACCCTCTCTCAAAAAAATAACAAAGTAAGTGGTTACTGGGTAATCATACTTAAGGATGACCTCTCTCCTCCACATACATGTACACACATGTGTATGTACACCTGCACATATGAACACACACATGGAAATAACAGAGCCATCTCCCACACTGGATGTGCAAGACATCTTTCAAGCAGGAGGCTCCCTGGCATCGTCTGAAGCAAAGGCATGCAACTGACCTGTCTATAATCTACGGCATGGCTCATTCCGTCCCCAGCTAGGACAACCTGGGTCAGCCCCAGGATAGTCTGTCTTGTTCAGAGAAGCAGCCTGCTGGAGAGCTATGGGTTCCTACTGGTTCCTACTGGCTGTATGGCTTGAACATCCCTGTCCTGGGTTCAGGTCCTCATTGTTCAATGAGAATCCTAACAGACGCTGGCCCAAGGTGTTATCCCGAGACATAGGGGAATCGCCTAACCAACAGTCCAGCAGGAGTCAACTGTACCCAAATGCGGGATTCAACTCTGTCCCCATAGGGCTTATGTTGCTGGCTAGTAGACATGGTGATTACTTATAGCAGTTGCATGTGCTGTTTTCTCCCTCTGAAGAAAGTCAAGCTTCTAAAATTAGCTGTTGGCCCCATTGGCCTCCAGAAATTAGGTTCTAGCCTTTGCTTTGCTGTGTCTAAGTTCTGCTTTTGGTTCCAGGCCTTAGTTCTGCACCCTCGGCCTCCACGCTCCTGGGCAGCCTTTCTGTTGAAGCCCTGAGACCCCACCATGGCAGCCTCAGCCCTCTGATGGACTGTGGCTCCTGATCCTAGCTCCTCCTCTTGCCATAGGCTCCGCCTCCTGATTGGCCACATTCCAGAGCTCCACCCCTCACCACCACAAGGCGTCTCCCTCCACTCCAGCTGCTCCTCTCTTTGTGTAGGTCAGGGCCAGGGCCAAAGATACAGACCTGAGCAGGAGCTAAGACTACAGAGCCCCTGGCTGTGGCTTGGGTTCCTGAACAAGGGTAGAGCACGGTCCTCAGCCTTAGACCCCCATACGGGCTAGCACCGTCCTCCCCATGCCCTGGCCTCCTGTCCCGCTGAATTCCTAGGCAGTCACATATCTACTAGGGCTTTTCTGGTGACATTCCATCTCTCGCTCAGAGCCTCCCCCCGGACCAGGATTGTGAATGTCTCTAGCCCACTCCTTCTATGTATACCACCGTCAGTGCATTTCCTTTGTGTAGGCCCCTCATACAAAAGGATCTGCACAGGTCTGTGGTAAGGAAGGGCTCCGTTTCCCCGACCACCTCACACCTCATGAGGCTGTGTGACCTCTGAGCAAGCAGGAACGCTGCTTTAGACTCTCGGTAAAAGGATGGCAGCCAGGTGGCCTCAGTGGAAGACACTGGGCACGGTGGCGATGATATTGGTAGCATGGCACCGGGAGCTATCCTCACCGGGCCTCCTCTGCTGCTCTTCATTCACTCCAGACGTTCGGAGCTGCAGACTGGGAGGTCTTCCGCATCGGCGAGAGGATCTTCCTCGCGGTGGCAAACAGTCACAGCTACGACGTGCAGATGCAGGCCCAAAACGACACCTACGTCCTCAGTTCCGTCATCTACGAGCTGAACGTCACGGCTCAGACCTTTGTCAAGTTCCAGGACATCCCAACCTGCAGGTAGCAACCAGGTCATAAGGGCAGAGTGAGTCTATGGGTGGGCGGCACAGGAAAGGCCTCTTGGGGCTAGCCCCAGCTTCCTCCCAGGACACGTGGCCAGAGCAGGTAGCCATGATAACCCCCATGGCTAGCTCTGTATCTGTGGCTGTTTTCTTCTCACAAGAAAAGATGTGAGCTCACCAAGAGAAGGCCTGACACCTCCACAAGGAGAAATGGTTTGTCTTCATGGCACAGGGCTGAGCATCAGGGAGATACAGGGGCTCGGGCAGGTGTCCCCTCCTAGTATGCCCTGCTAGATCCTGACCCACTGGCTCTGCAGGGCCACCGAGTCAGCACTGAGAAAGCAGAGCTGTCCCCACCCACATGGAGTTCCTCTGGGAGGACTTTCACTACCTCCAACCTCAGCTGCAGATACACTGTCTCTACAGCCAAATCACAGGGCTGAGCTTCAGGCTAGGCCCAGTGTGGTGACCTACCCAGAATGCAGCAGGCATTCCACAGGGTTCTTGGAATTCCATTTCCAGGTCCTGCCTGGGGCAGCTCTCAATCCTCTGTATCTCCAAATTCAGGTGCAATCTGATGCCTCTACTGGCCGCTGTGGGGGTTGCCCTTACACAAACACTGGCATGCAAACGCATGCATGCACGCACACATGAACACACTTAAAAATGAAGATAAATCTTTTTGTTATTTTGTCTTTTTTTTTTCCCGGAAGCTGAGGACCGAACCCAGCTTTACCGCTGATCTAAATCCCCAACCCCTTAAAAAAAATTTTTTTTTTTTTGCTTTGTTCTGTTTTTCAATTTTGTTTTTAAATGCCCATTGGTGTTTTGTCTGCATGTATGCTGTGTGAAGATGCCAGGTCCCCTGGAACTAGACAGTTGCTAGCTGCCACATGGGTGCTGGGAATTAAACCCAGGTCCTCGGGGAGAGCAGACAGTGCTCTTAACCGCTGAGCTCCAAGCTCCAAGATAAATCTTAAAAACAAAAGGAAGGAAGGAAGACGTTGCATAGTGGGAGAGTGAGATGTAACTCAGAAGACAAGACCTGCTCAGAGTCCAGCATGAGGCTCCAGCAGCAGCTCTGCCAAGGTATTAATGTCTTCACCCCGCCCCCTGTCTCCTTAGTGCGCTGGACTGGGAGTTTTTCTCCGTGGGAGAAGATCACTTCCTGGTGGTTGCGAACTCCTTTGACGGAAACACCTTCTCAGTGAACAGTATTATTTACAGGTAAGCACTGCTGAAGGCCAGGGGTCATCCTCCCACGTCAGGGTTCACAGTGTGGGGGCAAGATGTGGGGGGGACTTCCATTCTGTCACAGGTGATCCCTGGCTCAGAACAAGTTAAGACCATCAGCCTGAGGGTGTGTTTTCCTAGGTCTGGCCAGGGCAGGGAATCTGATGCCAGGCTGTATCTGCTACACCCCAAGGGCCACACCCCTCTCAGGGTCCTCGCCACACTGGCTGTCAGTGGCTATAAAGGTAGTGGCACCCTTACCTGACCAGGCTTCTATGGCTTAGTTACCTAACCAGCTCAAAGTTCCAGAGCTATCTCAGACAGCAGTAGTGACAGCCAACAGTTCTGCTTGTGGCTTTAAACGTCACAGCTGGGGAGATGCTGAGTGGCCTGCCTGGCTCGGCCTTCCTGGCTCGGCCTGCCTGGCTCGTGATTTCCTTAGGCGTCCATAGCACTTGGGGTGGGAGAGGTTGATCTGCTGGTGTGATGTTGGACACCGGACAAGGAGAGATTTCTTCTGAGATGAGCCACTGAGGACTTTCCTCACCCCAGATCCCAATTGCTAACTCTGGAGTTTCTGCATCCTTCCAGATTCCAACAGTAGCCCAGACTCCAGTTTCTGAGAGGAAATGAAGTTTGTCTGTCACATCTTGTAGACTATAACTTTATAAGGATACGATACAGCTTCTCCCAGCACCCGGCACCAGGACAGTTTCTGGAACCTCTTGTGACCACCACCCACCCCCCCCCCCCGCATACCTGCTTCTTCAGGACTCCACTCTCTTGAAATGCTTCTGTCACTTATAGTGTATTAGAAAGTTATGACTTTGCTTAGACTTTCAGATTCATTGCTGTAGATTCACTGAACATGACAAAGAAAATTCTAAAGGGTTTGTTAAAGGAGAGATGGCTCGGCGGCTAAGAGCACTCGCTGCTCTTTCAGAAGACCCCCCGATTCGGTTCTCAGCACACACACGGTGACTCACAACCATTCTTTTTTTTTTTTTTAAAGATTTATTTATTTCATGTATGTAAGTACACTGTTGCTGTCTTCAGACACACCAGAAGAGGGCATCAGATCTCATTATAGATGGTTGTGAGCCACCATGTGGTTGCTGGGAATTGAACTCAGGACCTCTGGAAGAACAGACAGTGCTCTTAACCACTGAGCCATCTCTCCAGCCCACTCACAACCATTCATAACTCCAATTCCACACACACAGTCTAGGAAGGTCACAGGACTATTCAAAATCATAGGACACATGACACACACACACACAAGCAAAACACTCATATATGTAAAATAAAAGAAATACATTTAAAAGAAAAAAATGAATTTGTGTTGAAGAATAATGGTGTCCAAGAAACTTTTGAAAAGATATAGGAGATTGCTCAGTAAAATGCTTACTGAAAAGGACCCAAGTTCAATCTCCAGCACCCCCACAAAAGCCAGCCCATGTGTGTGATCCCAGCACTGGGGCTGTGGAGAGAAAACCGTCTTTGGGGCTCTTTGCTCAGCTGGCCCAGCCAATTCAATGAGCTGTGGCAGAGCCTGCCCTCACCTGCTGGGTTTGACGATCAGCACCTTTTGACAAAATAATGTTGGAAAATATTAACATCAGAGCCACTGCTGCCCTTTGACCTAGGAGTCAGCCACTCAGGGACACTGTCCTGTGACCATGGAGCCAACTATGGGGAACATGTCCTTGTGCAAGGCAACCTATGGGAACCTGCTGGCCTTGGGATGGAAAGCAGAGACTGGAGCTGCCAAGGCTGGAGGCAGAGGACACTGTGCTTGGAGCAAGCCTGGTTCTGAGACAAGAGGAGCCAGGCCTCCTGAGTTCACTCTCCCAAATACTTAGGGTGCCTGGAACAGGGTCCCGGCTGGATGTGAGGGTGCTTCGGGATCTGGGATGGGACCAGTTTCTCTCCTGGGCCTCAGTTTCCCACTTGACCCTGGGAGCACCGGTCCCACTGATTATCTCTTCCGCAGGTGGCAAGGCTACGAGGGCTTCGTGGCCGTACACAAACTCCCCACCTTTGGCTGTCGGGACTGGGAGGCCTTCAACACCACTGGTGGCTCATACCTCATCTATTCCAGCGCCAAAGAGCCCCTCTCCAGGGTCCTGAAGCTGAGGACTGGCTGAAGTCACCTGGACCCCGCTGCCTCCCCTCTCCCCCAACGTCCACCAGCTAGGCATGTGCAGCAGGCCACACCCACCCAGCCCTCTCTGGTCCTGGGGCAGGTGGAGATGATTGGACACCTCTCTACAGTCTCTAAGCTGGCTCTCCCCCCACCCCGTCCCCCAGCTGAGGGCTGTACCAGAACCACAGTCCTGGTGACTAGTGGCAATATTTCAGGTGACCCTGGGGTCCTTCAGGCTGAGGCCCAGGGCTGGCACCCCATCTCGGTGCTCCCAGCCTGTTCCTGCAGGATTTCTGTCTTAAAGGGACAGTTGCTATCACATTTTACCTCAGATACATAGGCCCTAGCAGTCTCTAGGGCCCTGACTCTCCCAGCTACGCCTGCTGTACAGCCCTTACCCACACCTATTTATTGTATTTTATCTATATGAAAATATATTTATATTGCTCTTTACAAAAAAAAACATGGATGGCATTTTTTTTCTTTTAGGGGCTCAGTAGTGGACACATGCAAGAAAAGCATTCCTTTTAATAGGAGGATTCTTCCTTTGATGTCAGTAGTGGACACAGGCGAGAAAAGCATCCTTCTGTAGGGGAATTCTTCCCAGGATGTCAGTAGTGGACATATGCAGAGAAAAGCATCCTTCTGTAGGAAGAATTCTTCTCCTGATGTCAGTTTATTCTCAAAAGCACAGGGAGCAAAGTTAGATCAGAAATTCCAAGGTCCTATGTAGTGTGTCCCTCCTCTTCCTCAGGAACCCCATCATGGGGACACAGATGGCTTCTCTAACTGCACTCCATTCCCAACAGTGCAGTGAGCTAGGTACATATACACGGACCCAAGGCCTTCCAGAAACAGTCAGCTTGTTCTTTCCCATGGCAGGGCGAAGCACAAGGCCCTCTATGCTTCTTTGGATAGTTCCAGAAGTGGCCTAGATGCCTTTCAATCCTTGAAGGACAGCACAGAGGGCAGGGACCCTGAGCAGCTCCCAGGGTAAGCAGGAAGAAAGAAGGCCTTGAGGGACATCCCTGTGGGAGATGCAAGGGCACAGGCCTTCCACTTAAGGTCCTGGAGTCCAGGAACCATTGGCAGATGGGGAGGGGTGGGTTGTACAGAGAGGCCCAGCCAGCCTGTTTCCAGACCTTTCCCCAGCTGCCAGAGTTGGAACCAGGAGGCATAGCTAGGACCAAGGCTGCTGTGGGCACACTCAGCGGCCTTGCCAGGTTTAATGGTACTTTTAGGTGCCAGGTGGACTTTGAGCAAGGAGACGAACCATCTGTTTTATATGTTAGGTGTCAGCACCTGCATGGTCACCAGAGTATCACTCAGTATTATTGTGAAGCTGAGACTGTCTCTTGCACACATGCAGATAGTTCACAGAGGCTGACAAAAGAGAACAGTACAGAAAGAGCAGTCATACACCCCAGGTAGCTTTTTGGTTTTTATTCTTTGGGGTTTATTTTAATTTTGTAATGCAGTCTCATGTGGCCCCTGCTGGCCTAAGATTTGCTATGGAGCTTACACCTGAACCCCTGATCCTCCTGCCTCAGCTTCCTAAGTGCTATATTTTATTTTATTTTATTTTATTTATTTTTTCTTCAAGAGAAAGTGCAAGTCTTTATTTCAAAGTGAGCGTGGTGGTTCATGTGTGCACTCCCAGTAATTCTGAGGCTGAGGTAGGAAGAGCATCATGAATCTGAGACAAGACTTGTCTATCATAGGTCCAGGCTGATCTGGGCTGTGATAAGCCACTGTCTCAAAAAAGCAGAAGCAGACGGACACGATAGGTGAAGAAGAGTAACAGTAAGTTGGAATGAGAGTATGTTTAGGGCAAGAGATCAGGTATCAGTTATGAGCTTCTGTGCTTAGCAATTGCTACAGTTCCAAATGAACAGTGTGTTCAGAGAGAAAAGGGCCTTGAATTACAGTCTACACAGTTTCACTGCGGCACTTGAGTAAGCTATTTACTGCAGTGCATAAATAAGTATTGCCTTTATATCAGAAGGAAAGAGTGAAAGAATGAAAGAACGAATGAACAAAAGGAAGGAAGGAAGAAAGAAAGGAAAGAGAGAGAGAGAGAGAGAGAGAGAAAGAAAGAAAGAAAGAAAGAAAGAAAAAGAAAGAAAGAAAGGGACGAAGGGACCATTTTTTGTTTAGAGGATTCATGAGCAGTTAAAGATATAGGATATATTTGAAAAAGGATAAAATTGAAAATAACGTTGCTTTCAATTAATAGATTATGAATTATGCAAAAATAAAAGAACATCAAAACCAATGCTTTAGAAGTGATATGTTTGCTTATTTGTCGTATAGAAAACCTACTGGTACCAGAACTAAAAGTAATTAAAAGATTTCGTGTAGTTTAATAGCTGGTGCTTCAGGGCTGATCCCTGGTGGCTGGGTGTACCTCCCAGCTCTGCAACTTCCTAGCTACAGAAGCATTTGCAGGTTAAGTTATCTATTAACTGGAGTCATAACTGCTCTGATAAGGATGAGTTGAAGAGGAGAATGGAGTAACAGGCCTGGGAGGACTGGTAAAGAGTAGGATGTTCTGCCGTGAGCTGCAGACAAGCATTAGACACTTCCTGAGAGCACGGAGACCACCAGGAGCTGTGGACATGTACCCAGTCTCATGTACTTCAGGGGCTTGCCACAAACAGTGACATAGCTAAAGATAACCTTGAACTCCTAATCCTCCTGCCTCCACCTCCTTTGTAATGCTGGGATTACAAGCTTTCATCACAAAGAGTGGGTTAATGTAAAAACTTTTACTCAACTTTTATGTGTGTGTGTGTGTGTGTGTGTATGAAATATATATATATATATTGTGGATATATGTATCATAAATGGTTTTCTGATTTTTATGGAGACTCTAATGCTAAATATCTTTCTTTCTGCTTGATGTATTTAGAAAATTTAACTTTCTCCTCCACATATACTGTTCTTAACAAACTTTGTTCAGATTTTCCAGAGATTTCACCCTGCTGATCATGATGGTACATGAAGATCTTTGGATGTAGGGGTGTGAGGATCAGAAATTGAAGACTAACTGTGACTACCTAGTGTGTCTGAGGGACTGGAGAGATCACTGGGTAGATAAAGAGTATGTGCTGCTTCTCTAGAGGACCAGAATTAGGTTCCACAGGAGATCTGATACCATTTTTAGTCTCCATGGGCACCTGTACACGTGTGACATTCACATAAAAAAACATACACATATACACATAAATTAAAAAATAAATCATGCCGGGCAGTGGTGGTGAAAGCCTTTAATCCCAGCACTTGGGAGGCAGAGACAGGTGGATTTCTGAGTTCGAGGCCAGCCTGGTCTACAGAGTGAGTTCCAGGACAGCCAGAACTACACAGAGAAACCCTGTCTCAAAAAATCAATCAATCAAGCAATCTTAAAAAAATAAAAAAAACAGTGATTAGGAGAAACACCTGGGATATATGAGATCTCATTTTCAAAAGATTTTGCATTCATGCACTCATTTGGGTTTGCCTATTTTAAAATTTGTAAGATTTTTTCTTTAAATTTATTTTTATTGGATATTTGCCCCATCCAGCAGGGCATTAAACAGGGTCAGGGGAGATCACCTGGAAGAGAGAATGTGGAAACAGGTGGACGCAAAGAATGACTGCTTGTCTATAGGCTGATCAAACCATTGATTTTTACTTTTTCACACAGGAGTTATGTGCACAAAAAGGCAGGATGTGGGGAAGGGGATGACACAGAAGCATAGATGTTCAGGGGGAGTACAGATATCAGATGTCAGCTGGGTAAAGGTTCAGGGAACAGGTCACTATGACTCTGTCTATGATTCACTTGTCCTTATCTAAGTTGGTACTATCCACCAAGGCTACCCAAGGTCTATGACTATTCACAAGACCCATGACTACTTGTTCTTATCCAGGCTGGTAAATTTCCACCAAAGCTGCCTGTTTACAATATCGTATAGCTATCTATTCAGTGTTTTTCCACAGACACCAAGACTTTGTGTTAGCAGGCTGACTTAGACCTATTGCTGACTTTAGGCCTTCAGTGTATAAGCAAGGCTGCCCCTTACATCTCCCTTCTTTAAGTATAGAAGGACCATGACGATTCTAATCTTGCAAAGGCAAGGATAGAGGCCTGACCTCCAGTAATTAAAGGGGACCTTGTAATGGCTCTGGTCCTTCTGTCATTGTCCAGTGAGGCATGAGGGCCATATCCATCCTGATGTCTTTCTCCTGGAGAGGGGATACTTTTAACCCCTATGCAGTCAGGCTTGTCAGTCAGGGAACACAGAAGGATATTTTAAATTTTTATTTATATCCCCTTGCAGTGCTTAGCTTCGCAGCCTAAGCAAGAATTCAGACCACCAGTCAGAGAGGGTTCTGGGTGGCCTTTCTCTGCTTGGTCTAGGGGCAGAAGTCTCCTTTTAGGGTGAGTGGAGATGGGTTTTGGGAACACCATGGACGGAGTAACAACCTTGTCTTGAGTCTCATGGTCCTCCATAGCTAACTTATGATAATGTAACTTATGATAAGGTTTTGCTACCAAATTATCTATCTGTTGTTTCACAAAGTTAGGCAGGCTATTTAAGGCCCAGAGAACAAAAGAAATGAGCAAAAATAACCCAATTAATGGTCCCAAAATGAAAGGAAATAAGGTTGACAGCCATGGAGAAGTTGAAAACCAATTCTTATACCAGCTCTTATCTTTCTCTCTCTGTCTCTGTCTTTTCTCAGGGCCTTCTCTGACCTTTTTCATGCTTCTTTAACCATCCCTGTCTTATCTATGTAAAAGCAACATTCTTCTTTCTTGTGACTCCATACATAGAAATGCACCAAACAGCCAAGCAGTGGTGGCGCACGCCTTTAATCCCAGCACTTGGGAGGCAGAGGCAGGCAAATTTCTGAGTTCGAGGCCGGCCTGGTCTACAGAGTGAGTTCCAAGACAGCCAGGGCTACACAGAGAAACCCTGTCTCGAAAAACCAAAAATAAATAAATAAATAAATAAATAAATAAATAAATAAATAAATAGAAGAAGAAATGCACCAAACAAATTTCTGGTGATGTTCTGGCGGCTTCTTGCTGCTTCTGCAGACTTGGGCTGATTGGTAGAGTGAAGTGGAAGTTTCTGGATATGTCACCTGATACAGACTCAAGTGGAGGTTTGCTAAGACAGACTCCCATGGTGTTTTGCTGAAGCAAGACTCATGTGAGGAGGAGATGTTTGGAGGGAGTATAACAGGACACAGTGGACAGTGATGGGGGGCTTGCACAGCTGGCTCTGCAATGCTTCATTGGTCTCATGTCTTCATCTTGGCTGATCTTTGTTCCCTAGAGAGAGTCACAGCAGAGAACTTCTCCTGGTGCCCCTGCTGCTCCTGGTCATTCTTGCTGACTCAGGATTATTTGGTGGAGCCCTGGCTGTTTCTGCTGGGTTGTGCCACACCTGATGATTCCGGTTTGCTGTCTTGACACGACTGACCTGGAATGCTGGAATCCTGACAATTTGAGATTGAAATCACCCCAAGGAACTACTTGTAAACAGCAAACAGCTGAGCCCTCTGGCTTCTTCTGGATTGAGCTGCCAAGGCTGATTCTTGTGAACTGAACTCCTGATAACCAGACAATGGAGACTGGATTTGTTGCAAAGAACCATTTCTAAACAAGTCCATTTCTCCTGTATCCTAACAACCTTGCTTTTCCACAACTTCTGGTGGGTGGTGGGTAGAAGAGAGGTTAAGCATTTAAGAACCCTTATTTAAAATAGGTTTTGAAAAATCTAAGACAATTATCTCAGCTGTGGATATGCTCTTGGTTGGGGGGGGGCAGAAATGGGGAAAGGGGATTACATCTGAAATGTAAATAAAATATCCAATAAAAAATTTAAAATAAAAAAGAAAGAAAAGAACCCTTATTAAAAATAGGTTTTGAAAAACCTAAGTCAATTATCTCAGCTGTGGATATGGTCCTGAGAGATGAACAGAAAGTCACATCCTATACCTGAGAACCCTGGAAAAGACACTGGAAAGAAGGAGAAGCAGAAATGACAACAGTAGCATGGCTACAGGGAGCGCCCAGAGCAGCTTCACCACCACATCATTAGTAGCTAAACCAAGTGGGTGGGAAGAAATGTAGTGTGACTTATCTTGTGTACCCAGCACTTTACAGGATCCACAGTTGAGTCTCTGATCTTTAGCCCTGGAGACTAATCATCCTGGGGACAGGACTAGGCTCAGGCCTTCCCTGTGTCATTTTGATCACAGACTCTCAGCATGTGCTTCATAATGAAGGAGAAAGCAGACCCTGGAGGTGACACAGCCGAGGAGTGACCCCTTCAGAGTTAATAATGGACTGAGCCCACCTGGGCACTGCCCTGTTCACACTCAGTTCCCACAGCCTCATCCTCTCCCAACAGATACACACAGCATAGTGACACAGATTCTGGAAGATTCTCCATTTGCCCTTTATTTCTTTAAAAAATTCTATGTATTCTTAATCCATTAAATTCACAAGCAATCAACTCTCAGGTCAAAATGTTAACAATCAAGTTCACACTCAGATTCTTATTCTCAGTGTGGAAGTGAGGAGCTGCAGCTCAGGGCAGCATGGAGCTGACAGGATGCAGATGTCCCCCAGTGTTTGGCTGGACCAGGAAGGTTGGCTGTAGAAGGCAACACAGGCAGTACAGGGACAGGGTCCTGGGCTGCAGGGGCAGGCTGGACTCCACGGTTCTTCACATTGAGCCCAGAGGATCACTGCGAACATCAGACACTGTCATCTAAAGAATACTGAGGACTCTGGACGTCACAGGAGAGACCTGAACACAGTGTCTGTCACTCAGTCCACTCCAGGCTGCTGTCTTCATGCTAGAGAACAAGACACATGAACCATCACTATGAAGTCAACATCCCAACAACCCACCACTCAAGGGGATTCTGGGAGTCCCTGAAACCTAATCATGTCCATATTACCCTTCCCCAAGAAGGCCCCAGAGTGTCACCTTTACATTCTGGGAGAGACATATCAGAGCTCCGGGAGCTGTCCCTGCCTAGGGTAAAACAGAACATATGTATATGTACATGTAGGTATACCTATCAAGGCAAAACTCGGGTCCTCAGAAGATTTCTCTGGAGGAGCTATTATGGATTCCCAGAGCTACCAACGTCTCCAGCGTCACTCCAATGGCCTCAGGACAATTCTGTCCCCAACACTAACCTGGAGCTGGAGAATAGTCTCCTCCTTTTCCACCTGTGAGAAGAAAAGCTGTGAGAGTTCAAGGCAGATCTTGACACTAGGAAGTTTCCAGAATTGGCAGCAGCAATTCCAGGTGTGGATGTTTCCCATTAATGAGCAGAGCACACTTCTAAAGGAGGCTGAGAGAAAACTCAGACCCTGTCCTTTCCTACCTTTGTTTCTCCTCCTCTTAATCACAAAAGCCACCAGAGGTACAACAATGGCCACAACTCCAAGGACAACCAGAACAGCAATGATTGCCATGTTTGAGTCAGTGGATGGAGGAGGCTCTAGGAAGGACAGGTACAAGAAATGAAGGTAAGGGTCATGACCCCAGCTCTCAGCCCTGACCAGCTCAGGGTCTGCACAAGGCTCCAGCTTTCCCTGACTCCAGCTCTGCACCCACACCCTCCTTACCCCATCTCAGGCTGAGGGGCTCAGGCAGACCCTCATGTTGCACATGGCAAGTGTAATCCTGCTCCTTCCCAAGAGGCACCACCACGGATGCCCACTTCTGGAAGGTTCCATCCCCTGAAGGCCTGGTCCCCACAAGCTCCATGTCCTGGGTCAGGTCTTCCCCATTCAACTGCCAGGTCAGGGTGATGTCAGCAGGGTAGAAGCCCAGGGCCCAGCACCTCAGGGTGACATCACCTTCAGATCTGGGGTGATGGGCCACATGTGCTGTTGGAGGATCTGTGGGGAAGATATAAAAAATTGTACAATTAAGAAGACAAACTGAAATCTACACAAGACTCAGTTAAATCACTCATGTGTCTTTTTTACATTTCAACTGTCACTACACTAGTGACCTGCAGGTAGAGCTGGTCCCCTCGGCACAGAACTACACATTTTCCTGGGGGACTCAGAAGCCAAGAGGGAATTCACATGAGCCAGTGGGTCAACATGGCCGACCTTATGTGATGTTCTGTAGCATGAGACAGTCATAGAATGGAAGATGGAATGGAAAATATATAATTTGTGTATGTGTTTGAGTTCATATCAAAATTAGAAATTAGGGCCATGTGCTTCTTGAAGGTGGCCACCACTGAGAGTCAACCACTGTGGTCATCTTGCTGACCAGCATTAACTGTCAGTCTAAGCAAACAGTCATCACGAAGTGTGTAGCAGAAATGTGGAGAACCTCTGACACTCAGACAGGCAAAATGACTCCCAGCCCCTGCCTCTGGGCCGACAGAGTACAGGTGTGTTACACAGGATCCTTGGAGTGTGCTGTGCACCCCAGTACAGCACTCACTGGAACACAGTGTGCTCACAGGGTGTGTGGATCTTCCCTCTCACTCCAGCCCTGGAGTGCAGAAGACCCTGTCTCTCAGAAAGTCCAAATCCTGATTCACTAGTGGGAGCACTGTAACTTGTGGGGGCAGAGGAAGAGCAGGAGGCTCCTGAATGTTTAGTTCTGACAGGAAACAGTCTAAGCCCCCAAGAATCTCTCCTTTAATGAGAACCCTGATTTAACTTGTCTAATTATCCAGATTAGCAGACTCCCCTGGCACCTGTGGAGACAGATACAAATGATAATACAAGGGCATGGAGAAACAGGATCACTCCAGTGCAGACAAAAACTGAGAAGCAAAATAATTCCTTTAAAAAAAAAAAGAGAAAGAATAGAAGAGAAAAAAGAAAAGATAAAAAACAAAAGTCCACAATTTATATTCCTCCACGGTACCCCATAAGTGCTCATGTGACCATTCACCACTTTAGGCATAGATAGAATTGGGGTGTCAACGGGGGGGGGGATGCAAACCCCACAGACAGGGAGGGATCTGTGAGGATGTATTCTTTGGAAAGTTCTAGAAGTTGGGGGAACCAGCCTAGTATAGGGGAGTCCATCAGGTAAAGGAGACTTCTGGTACTGAGGTGTAAGGGCTGACACACCCAGCATGACAGGAGTCAGAGTCCACAGTGGGTGTGGGCAGAGAACCCAGCCTGGGAGAGGCCATGGGTGACAGCAGGGAGCCCCTGCTGTTAAGTCAGGAACTTCTCTCCTTCCCTCCTGAGACAGACTGGGGAACTGTCCAGGGAGAAGGCTGAGCCCTGGGAGAGTCAGTGCAGTCACTGTGATGAGGATCAGGAGACCCAGGGACACTCTCTCCCCTCTGAGACAGGGGCATCACCCCAGCTGAGGGTTTCTTCTTCCCCAGGACTGAGCCCCAGCCCGAGGGCAGAGGGAGGAGCTGCCCGCGGACCCTGCACCTGTGCGCAGCAGCGTCTCCTTCCCGAGCTCCAGGTATCTGCGGAGCCACTTCATGCACGTGCCCTCCAGGTAGGCCCTCTGTCTCTCTGCATCACCAGTCTGCTCCCACTTGTGTCTGGAGATCTGCGCCGCCATGTCCGCCGCGGTCCACGTTTCCAGGTCTTCGTTCAGGGCGATGTAATCGCAGCCATCGTAGGCGTACTGCCAGTACCCACGGAGGAGACTCCCGTCCGACCCCATGTCACAGCCGAGCATCCCCTGGAGCGTGTGAAAGCCTGCGGGACCCCGCGGTCAGCCCCGCCCACCCGCAGACCTCTTCACATTGAAAGGGAAACCGGTCAAGGGTCAGTTCTGCTCCCGAACCTCGGACTTCGGACCCGGGACGTCTCCGGCCTCTGTGTCGGGACGTGGAGGAGTCGTGACTTCTGACCCTGGATCACTCACCGTCCTCGCTCTGATTGTAGTAGCCGAGCAGGTTCCTCAGGCTATCTCGGTTCCACTGCTCGTTGCTCTTGGCGATCTGTGTCTGCCGCTCCCAATAATCCGGCCCCTCCTGCTCCATCCACCGCACGCGCGGCTCGTATCTCGGATTATCCGCGTCGCTGTCGAAGCGCACGAACTGCGTGTCGTCTACGTAGCCGACAGCGATGTAGCGGGGCTCCCCGAGGCCGGGCCGGGACACGGCAGTGTGGAAATACCGCAGAGAGTGTGAGCCTGGGGACGGTGCGCGGTGAGACCCTGACCTCCTCCCGGTATCTCGGGCAGGTGCGCGGGCCGGGAGGGGAGCAGGGCGCGGGGCTCGAGACGCGGGTGGAGAAGGGGCGGAGGGTCCGGTGGGCGACTCGGGGACAGGGCTTCTCCGGTGCCACCTCCGCCCCTCCCCGCAGAGCCTGTTTCCCTCCCGACCCCGCACTCACCCGCGCGGGTCTGGGTCGGGGCCAGGGCGGCCGCCAGCAGCAGGAGCAGCATGCGCTGCGCCATCCCTGCCCCATCTGGGATCCAGGGCGTCTGAGTCCCGCGGGCTGCCTGGACTTTGTAACCAGTGCCCTCGGTGACGCTGATTGGGTCCCCGAGATCGCATCACCCAATGGGAGTGAGACATGCCCGCGCGTCATCAGTGTCCGGGCAGTAGGACTTGACACAAGAGCAGAAGTGAAACTGGAGAGATGGAGAATCCCCAGCCCTGGGCTTCCCCACCCCTGACCTCACTGCCTGGAGACTAAGACTTTGCTTGAACCCTGTGCTGCAGACAGAGCGCTGTTTGTCATGGTTCTCCGAGTTCTGACCCAGAAGCTGTTGGACATCAGGAGAGACCCGCAGGTCAGACTCTCTGTGTCCTCTCCTCCACCCTTCCTCTTTCTTCTCTTCAGAAGTCAGAACCTGGACTCTTATAGAAGAAAAGCCGCTTCCAGGAATACAGTGGCAACACAAGCAGTTGGGGATGCAGTGGAGGGATGCTTCTTCTTAAAGCAGAGGCGCTGTCTGCAATCCCCACACGGACTCCATAGAGACCAGGCTCTGTGTTCACCTGCAATGGGAGAGTCACACTCTAAAACCTGAGTGCAGGACTTTCATCTGTAAAGAGGAGACTTTGCCTCGTCCCTCGGGATCTCTTTTCTCAGCCCTGTGTTTAGACACAGATTCCCTGTGTTACTTACTGGATGTAGTCTGTGGCTACAGGTCGGTATTTTTTTTTTTAACAAGGATCTTCATTCTGTGTCCTGAGTTTGTCTGTGTGGACCTGGGTCTTTGTCTCAGCAGGTAGACCCCCTTGTCCACTGAAGAGAGACCCCTGTGAAGACCACAGACAGCAGGGCCCTGATCCCTGTCTACACTGCGCCTGCCCTGTGTCTGCACTTCCATGGTACAGTTGACTTAGTGACTCAGTTACAGTAGGAGAGGAAGTGTCACCGACTATATCGAAGATTAATAATGACAGTGTGTCAGAAGACATTAAATCTGGGACCCTCTCACTCCCTCCATGACATTCACCCACACTGTGAGCTGATGAGGTGAGGGACATGGATCTCACAGGTGTGTGGGACACTGGATCTGATAACCGAGTTGTCCCCAGAGTTCCTCAGGCCTGTGAAGTGTAGACACTGGGAGAAAGATGATTCTCATGGCAGAGAGTACACACTGGTGAGGTGAGGTTTCATCCCTGATCAGTAGTGTGGGAAAAGACTACATTGACATATTTCATGGTTCTGTGGATGTCTTCAAATCACAACCACAGACCTGAAGTGGAAAGAAGAGCAGAGACGGCCGGGGACTCCTGACAAGAATCATTCATCACACAGAGCAACAAATGTGCGGGACCACAGGTGTGAACTCCAGTCACTTCCCCATGCAGGTCTCCACAGCAGCCCAGCAGCCTCACCAGGATTCAGCAGAACCTGTTTCTGTGAACCCCTCTTATTAGGCACTGTGAGAAGTTTCCATGGGAACTTGATGCTCGTAGGTTTCATCCTGACAAACCTAAGGATGCTGTTGGGAATAAGAAGATCTGCAGAAAGTATCTGTCTCTGATCTTCTCTTATTTATTCTGTGTGTGTGTGTGTGTGTGTGTGTGTGTGTGACAATGTCTGCACAGCTCTAACTGTCCTAGACCTTACTATGTAGACTAAGCTAGCTTTGAACTCAATGAAACACATCTGCTTTTCCAACCCGAGTGCTGGGTTTCTTAGTTTGGCTTTCATTGTTGTGGAAAAACACCCCGAGAAAAGCAACCATTCCAAAGGGAATCATTTAATAGGGGCTGGCTTACACTTTCAGGGATTTAGTTCATTATAACAGGAAGCATGCCAGTGTGCAGACAGACATCATGCTGGAGGAGCAGAGACGTCTACATCTTGATGCAAATGAGATCCAGGAAGAGGCTCTCATTCCACACTGGGCTGAGCATGAGCATAAAGACTGCAAAGACCACCCCCACAGTGACACACTTCCTCCAAAGCCACGCACATTCCCACAAGGGCAGCTCCTAATAGTGGCCTTTGTGGGCCAAGATTTCAAACACATGAGTCTACAGGGGCCACCTATTCAACCCACTACACTGGGTTCGAAGGCATATGTCACCATGCTAGCTTTAGTTACTTTTTTATTACTTAGTTAAGACGCTGTGACCAAGGCAACTTATAAAAGAATGTGTTTAATCTGTTCTCTAGTTTCAGAGTGTTTGCGTCCATGATGGCAGAGACCAGATGTGGTGGAGGAACAGCTCAGAGCTTGTTGCTTTGCTAGCAACAGATTGAGACACTGGGAATACTGGAAGTCTGTTAAAACCTCAGTGTCCAACCTGGTGGCACAGATCCTTCAACAAGGCCACACCTCCCAATCCTTTCTGAACATTTTCATCAGCTATATTTCAAGTATTCGTTCCTATGAATCTGTGGGGCTGTTCTCATTCAAACCAGCACAGAGTTCACTATGAAATGTAAGATGCCAGCAGGGTTCTGCAGATGTGTCCAGTGCAGTCTGACAGAAATAGCCTCACACAGGGAACTCTGCTGAGTTAGCATCTCCCTCTTTGCCTCTGTCTCCTCCTGTTCAGCTCCTTTGTGTCTCTGTCCCTCAGGCCTCACCCCATCAGTGCCCAGCACCCCTCCCTCCTGAGCTCTGCACTGATTCTGTCTCTTCCTGTGCCTCTAGTTTCTCTCAGTGCTCAGCCAGCATGCTGTGAATCAGCTGTGTGGTTTCCTTGTGTAAACATTCCAATAGTGGCTGGAGAGATGGCTCAGCAGCTAAGAGCACTTGTTGCTGTTGCAGAGGATCCAGGGTGAGTTCCATCAGCACATGGGGGCTGTCAACCATCTGTAACTTCAGTTTCCAAGGGATCCAATGTTATCGGTCCTACATACTCATATATAAAAAAACAAATACATCTAATAAAAAAGAAGTTTAAAAATATTATTTGAAAAACACTCCCATGGGCTGGAGAGATGGCTCAGTGGTTAAGAGCACTGACTGCACTTCCAGAGGTCCTGAGTTCAAATCCCAGCAACCACATGGTGGCTCACAACCATCTGTAATGAGATCTGATGCCTTCTTCTGGTGTGTCTGAAGACAGCTACAGTGTATTCATATATATAATAAATAAATCTTTAAAAAAAAAAGAAAAAAAAGACAAACACTCCCTCTCTCTCTCTTACTCATCTAGAGTGTGAGGCCAGGGGCTGAGGGCACAGGGCTATTTACACAACACTGTACCACCATCCAATGAAGCCAGCTCTGGACATGGACAGGAACACATGACTAAAATACACTGTACTGGAAGACAATTTGTAAAAAGGCATAAAATTAAAAATACAGAATATATTTCTTTTTTTGGACCTACTGTGCACAGTGGATCACAGCCTCATTCCAGGAAGACAGAGTGTGTGCTCATCTTTGCACTGGAGCCAATGTCAGTTTTTGATTCCCCATGAACAAGATAAAGTCCACTCAGAAGCTTCCTTCAAGTCTGGGTGGCGAACCCCCCATGCTTCTCTCTTCCCAGAGTTCCTCTCTCTGACCAGAATCCTGCCTTCTACTCTCCTTTGTTACAGGACACAGGCATTTCATTTTACCACTCAGAAGGTGCTTTAGGTAGGCAAGGTAGGACAGAGACTCACCTTCACACAGTGTACAACAACGTTACTTCAACATTGCCCCCTTTAGTCCTATAAAAGGCTCTTTCTCTGACATCATAAACTATATACAATAAGAACAAGTATAAAAATGTAATTATGAAATGTTAAGAATTGGGACTGGAGAGATGGCTCAGAGGTTCAAAACACTGACTGCTCTTCCAGAGGTCCTGAGTTCAATCCCCAGCAACCACATGGTAGTTCAAAACCATTTGTAATGGGTTCCGAAGTCCTCTTCTGGTGTGAGTGAAGACAGTTACAGTGTACTCATATATATTAAATAATTAAAGAAAGAAAGAAACAAACAAACAAACAAAGAATTTTTTTCAATAAGTTAAGAATTTAAGAATTCTTTTATTAAAATTACTAAGTATACATTTAATTAAATATTAATTTAAAAATTAAGAACTTCAATTAATTTTTAAAATCAGAATATAAGAATTATATTAATCAGGTCTAGTTCAATTGTATTTGACAACCATTGAGAAATTACTCTATCACCTAGCCTATGAATCCAAAGTTCTATCTATCTTATGAATTCAAATTCTGTGCCTAATTTCCTTTCTATTGTAACTTGAAATTATCTACCTAAAAATATCTTCCTAGACCTAAATTGTTTTTTAAATCCTAGACAACTTAATCTTACTGTGAGACTGTAACTATCTAGTCTTCCACCGCATCAGTGACCTGAGAAGGATAACTATTCCCTGAGAAAACAGGAAGTGCGGAGCACGCAGCTTCCACCAAAGCTACAGAAATGGCAGAGACCGCTGGCTGCCTGGACAGTCACCCAAGATTCTTCTGCAATGCTGGGGCATCAGTCTTCAGGCTACTGGTCCAGTAAATGACAGACTTTTTGATGAAGCAGGAATATTGAAGGACTTCCCCAACTTGTCTTGGCAAAGCTCACCAGTCAGCTTCCTCTGTGTTCTGCTTGTCCACTGTTAGGACGGCACGCAGTGTGCAGTTGGAGCAAGGGCAGGTATTTGGTTGGTGTCTAGCTTTGCCACATTTGATGCAAACTCCATATGGAGGTCTTCAATGCACATCATCTTCTCTGGAGTAGAACACGGACACTGCCAGGCACAGTCATGTCTCACTGTTATGGAAAGCTTCGTGTTAACAAAACAGTTTTGAACACCGTATACTGTAGATCTCTGAGATTCCCAAAACCCACCCATCTCTCTATCATATATAAGAATAGGCCAATATTGCTTGTTTCTAGCTATGTATTATTTGCTCAACTTTGGAAACATCTACAAGAGGCTAAAGAAAGCTTATTTTTGTAATTAACACAACTAGTACCTGACACGTCTGCCCCATCCAGCAGGATATTGAACAGATATTGACTGT